GTTCTAGCCTTGTGGTTCAGGAATATGCTCAGGAGCTAACAACTTATGACGTCAGAATCATGTTACTACACCTGTGAAGGAATTACCATCAATTTGTACAAATCTTTAACACTACATGTACATAAAAACTTAAAAACACATATGTTTAGTCACTCAAGCAGACATCTTCTAATTAATAACTAATTTACACGTGCATACGAAAACATAAAGTACAATTCGAATCGCTGCAATGACAGTCTTTCACACATCTATGCCACTTGAACACAACAAAATCACGAAACTATGTACACCACAACTTGACCACACCAAAATGTAGCATAATAAGACTTAATTAAGAAAAAAGAAGAGATTAAAAATCGTGAACTGGTATTCCCAACTTAACCACTTTTTGTCTCTTAAAGTAGGCTTCGTTAGTGTCCGAATTTTCCGCGAAAATTAGGCCGTTGCCCGTTCAGTCATAAAACCTTCATTAGATTCACCGGTAAGTAACGGAATAATGTTACCGTGTGCCTGTTCAGTCAAGCAAATCTATTCTGCTTCGAACTCAAATACATTGAAGTAATGTAGCCTATACATGTATTTTAAAAAATCACACAAGCAAATTGTAGGTAAAAACTTATTCACACTGTGTAAGCTAAAAATGTAAATCAAGTCGGTGTAACAGTAGGTTTTAACACCACATCTATACCACTTGAACACTATTATGACCATCACTAGCCTCTAAACACCACAAACTTACCACATTATATCTACACCATAATCTGTCTAAGAATAGAGGCAGGTTCAGCAGGGCATGAGGAACAATAACGATGCGTAATAAGGACCTGATTACAAAAAAAATTTAAAAACCATTACTTTAAATCGCCAGCACGTCTGCTTTCTATCTCTTCACATAGGCTGCGGCCATGTCTAAATCTTACACCTATCTACTATAGGTCTTTGCCTGTTAGAAATACGTGAGTACGAGCTGACAATTGACACAGTCTTAACCCCGGACTCAGCCCGTTTTCGGACATGGTTTCTTACTGAATAAGGTGTGTATATGAGCTCGGGATGGTGGTACGTTGTCGTGTCCATTACTCCGGGCATTCTATCTGGACGTCTGTGGAGAAATCTTGCTCGGTGTCATCGAGGAAGCGGTACCTCTCTGATCGACGTTGTGAGGGTCGACGACAACAACTCTCGCATGCTGTAGCGATGCATCCTCCGTGGCGACAGCAGCATCCATGCCTCCATAAAGCCTTCGCTCCAGTCCAGAGTAAACTCGCTACAAGGAAAGCAAAGTGAGACCCAAAAAAAGTCCGAACAGGAGATACGAAACTAAACAGTGAACACTGCAGAAGAATTGTTGCTGCCTGCCGGGATATAAAACTGTGACACCGCAGACGACCAAGAGAGAGAGAGCACATTTTCTCTTGTTTGTGAGAAATTATTTCGTTCGCATAGTTTAAACAAGAGACACTGGGGTATTCAGTACATTAATTCTGATTTTTTAATGCTATACAGAGTCATTTTTTTATCTCGACGAATTTTAAGCATTTTAAAGCATTGGGTTTACAAACAATCTCGTTACACAAAAAAGGTCATCAGGAAAAGATACTTACCCACGACAAACACAATAATGCT